GTAATTATAGAATTTTAAGCAAAAGAATTGGGATATTTGAGTTTCTAAAATCAACAAACAACTTATCAGATAAAATTGACTATGTTGAATTTTTAGTGAACGAAACAAATCAAACCTTAGCAAGTTAAATAACAGTAAGGCATGCAAAAAATAGCAGCATTTAGTTTGTATTGAAAAAAAGTATACAATAGTATGCTTTTTACCTAGAGAGGATGGTTCCACAAGAAGATGAAGTAATTTCCACAACAAATCAAACCATCGGATTCTACCTTGAGAAGATGGTTTTACAAGAAGGCGAAGATGCAAGTGATAGGAAACATTTGAAGATTTCAAGTAAAATCTATCCATTGAGACAAAAAAAAAAATAGAAAAATGCTCTACAAATCCCATAGGAAAATCAACAAAACAACATTTTAAATCAAACTAATGAAAGAAATAAAGCAAGATACAATTGATCCTCTATTTGTGAGGAGGATCTATCTCTACTAAATCTCTAGACGTCGCTAGAGCAAAAAAAAATTAAACCTAAAAGATCTCAAATTTCACCCAAATTCAAGATGAAACCTTAACCCTTACAAGAGAAACTATTTAAAGCAAAGAATATTACAAAATCTCTAAACAACCCCTAATTTAAATTTTCCCTCTCAAAGAAATATTTAATTGAGTTGTTCCCTCCCAAAGCAATATTAATTGAGTTGTTCCCTCCCAAAACAATATTTAATTAAGTTGTTCCCTCCAAAAGCATTATTTAATTGAGTTGTTTCCTCCCAAAGCAATATTTAATTGAGTTGTTCCCTCCAAAACAATATTTAATTGAATCCCTTAATTCAAATTGGATCGGTTTAACAATACTCCCCTCCCAAAGATCCATCTTGTCCTCAAGGTGGAAGGATGGGACATTGTTGATAGCTTTGTTCAGCTTCTCTGTTAGTGGCCATGCTATCGTCCACTGGAATTAAAGCTAAAGCTTTCCTCTCTAGACATAGCCATGCAACCGTAAACTTCACCTCCTTAGTCAACCCATTCACTATTAAATACATCTCCACCCGGTACACCCACCCATAAGCATCTTCCCTTTTAAATACTGACATCCCCAACTTCCTCACCCTAGGATCACTACCTTCCCAATAGCTTTTTCCTTCTTCAGCATAGTGGTTGTCGTGATCCCTCCATATTTTCCTCATGTATCGTGCGTGGGAATCCCACCTTCCTTCGCTTCGCCTCACATGACATGATCCCCATGGTTCGGCCCATCCCCCTCCTTCGGTCCTCCTCTTCCCTTGCCCAAAAAACGTCCCATAGGAGTCGGCCACCCCACCACCTTCACCACAAAATGCTCTTCCTGCTGTCCCCCCATCCGATAACCCTTTTCAGAGCCCTAGGAGGTGACTCTTAACCCCCTCCTTCTCCGATGAGTGGCTCTCCTTGCCCAAAATACGTCTCATAGTGGTCGGCCGCCCTACCGCCTCCACCAAAAATTTTCATCTTTGTTGTCCCCTCATCCAGAGACCTGGTCCACTCTTTATCAGAGCCACAAGAGGTGGCTCTTGATGAAAGAAACTCTTTTCTTTCTTCGCTTCGGCCAAGGGAATCCCGATCAAATCTTGGTTAGGGTTAGCCATCAGAACCACTCTTGAAGTTTTTGTTTGCATGTCCAAGAACCTTCTTAACATATCCTCCAGCCTTCTAAATCGGTTTTTCATACGATTTTCCATATATGAAAATCTTTCTTGTATGACAGAGAACTTCTCCATGCCGGTTTTGAATTGCTCCATCTTTCCATCTTCTTTGCTATCATTAATTAGATCTAGGCTCCAATTGCAAAAAACAACGAAGATATCATATTTTTCCACCTAAGAAAGCGCTCTGATACCAATTTGATAGGAAACACTTGAAGATTTCAAGTAAAACCTATCAATAGAGACAAAAAAAGGCTAAATGATCCACAAATCCCATGGGAAAATCAACAAAACAATAATTTTTATTGAAGAAATCAAACTAACGAAAGAAATAAAGCAAGATACAATTGATCATCTATTTGAGAGGATGATCTATCTCTCCCAAATCTCTAGACGCCGCTAGAGCCTAAAAAAACTAAACCTAAGAGATCTCAAATTTCAGCCAAATTCAATATGAAATCCTAACCCTTACAAGAGAAATTATTTAAAGCAAAGAATTTTACAAAATCTCTAAACTACCCCTAATTCAAATTTTCCCTCCTAAAGCAATATTTAATTGAGTTGTTCCCTCCCAAAGTAATATTAATTAAGTTGTTCCCTCCCAAGACAATATTTAATTGAGTTGTTCTCTCCCAAAGCAATATTTAATTGAGTTGTTCCCTCCAAAGCAATATTTAATTGAATCCCCTAATTCAAATTCGACCGGTCTAATAGCAAGCTCCTTTGGCCTCGCCTGCTTGCGCAAATGAAGAAGACGCAAAACCCTTGTTGCTTGCGGAAACGAAGAAAATGCAAAACTCACATGCTCGCAGCAATGAAACCCTTGCTTGCAGACTTGAAATATGAAAGGATACAGGATAAAACCTATAGGGATACATGCGGTCCAGCTCGTTCATTTAATTGAAAGGATTTTATTTTATTTTTTCATTAAATATTATTAAATATTAGGACACGCATGTCTGTTTATATTTAAATATTATTTTAATCGGACGCATTTCGGCCGTGTCAGTATCCAACACGTGTCCGACATTGCATACCTTCATAAGTGTGTTGGTGCATCATACAAAATCAAAGAAACTACAAAAAGATTAAAAAAAGTAGTATTCTTTTCATTGACTATATATAGTGAATGATAGGATTACTGTTTGTTTAAAGATTTTTTTAGTTTCTCTGATTTGTTTATTTGGAGCACTTCAGCCTTCAAAAGTAAGCCTTTTCCATCACTTGTTGAACGTGACATTTTTTTAATCCAGTTTTTTAAAGGCAGAAGGAAACTTTTCTTTTGTGTTCCACTTTGCTTCTTCTATATGTGGTTCTTTTACTGATTCCAGTGAAGCTTGAAATATGATTGATGTAAGGGAGTCATGTGAAGTATTGAAATGGAGTTGGAACTTTACTGTCAGATTTTTACTAATTATAGTTTACTTGAAATGACCTAACGATCTATTTACATAGGCAAAATTTGCATGATTATTTAGTTAGCATTCAGTGTGCTAATTTGATTCCTTCCTAACTCTTGCATTTTTTTTTTTTTGCCTTTTCATCATATCTTCATGTTCATCCATTTGAAATTTTCTTAAGGGGTTAAATTTCAAAATAGTCTCCCCCCGAATATTTGCATGTGGCCATTTTAGTCTAAGAATATAATATTGCTCCAATTTAATCCCTGGACCATACAAAATTGATCGAATATGGTCCCTTTATTTTGTAAAATTGAGGATCTAAATTTGGATCAATTTATATCACAATTACAATATGAGGGACTATTTGGGATCAATTTTGTAGTTAAAGGATTGAATTGGGACAACGTGATACTCTGTGATTAAATTGATCATACACAAATAGTATGGGGATATTTTGAGATTTTTTTATTTTCTTAAGTGTTCCATACATGATAGTCATCAAAGTTCTCTTAAACAATCTTAACCCCCTTGATTTAAAAGATCCAATTGAAACTATCAAAGTAAAATGCATAGAATTACAATTTTAAGTATTTTTGTTTTAGGATTCATCTGCATCTTCTACTACCTTCTATATTTTATGTTGATTAAGCTATTTTCTTCCCTTTATTTAGTTAAAAATGTGATCTCTACTGCTGATTATTTTTATTTTTCATCATAAAAAACTAGAAAAATGTTGTAATGTTTTCAATTTGGTTTTGGTAATTTACGCAGAATCAAAATGCTTAATTTTTGCTTTTATGATAAGTATCTTATCATAAATTATTTGGGAAAACTAACTTATACCAATGTACTTCTCATCACAAAATTTTGGAAGCGGACTAATTGCGAAAAAAGAAAAAGGAAAATAAAATCTATTAATGCCATTAAGATATTTTTTTTGGAGGGTCCTATGTCTGCTTGATTTAGTTATGCATTTCATTTTGATGGATTTTTTGTCATCTAAATTATTTAGTTTTCATTTTTTTTTTAAATTCCAGTAGTTGCACGTGCTTATGTTAGACCGGTCCATTGGACCGGTCCAGGCGGGACCGGCTCAGGCACGAACAGGGCGGAAGTTTCTTCCGCCCGCTGGGATGCCGAGCGAGCCGCACGGCGTGCGGGAGCCAAATAGGAAAGAAATTTTGGGGAGTTAAGAGGGAAATTTGAATGTAGGGACTGTTTAGGGAATTCCTTTTGATTTGTATGCATTAAATAGTTGTTTTTTCTAGGGTTTGAGTATCTTGAATTTGGCTGAAATTTGAGATCTCGTAGATTTAGGTTTTTTTTGGGCTCTAGTGGCGTCTAGAGATTTGGGAGAGATCGATCCTCCTCTCGAATTGAGGATCAATTGTATCTTTGCTATTTTCCTTGCAACTACTAGTAAAATACAAGTCTTTTCTCTGATTTTTCTGCAGTTTTTCCCTGCTTTCCTATTGTTTTTGGCTGTTTTTCTGCTGTGGACAGCAGTTTTACATTGGATCTACTTGGTTTGGTGAGAAACACTTGGAAATCCAAGTGTTTCCTATCAGCTTATAAGCTGGTTTTCCTGGAATCCTGAGTTTTATTCTTTTGTTTTATGGCCCCATCTTGCTTTTGGGCATATGCAGATTTATATGATCTTATATCATTTTTTTTATTTAGGGTCTGCTTGGTTTTTGAAAAGTATGATTTAAAGCGCTTACATGCAAAGCAAATCTCTGCATTTTTCTTCAAATTAATTTTATTAGTTTATTTTTTCATAGTAGTACCGCAAATAAATGCTGTCGGTTGGTACATTTACTTTTCAAGGGTTTATTTTGTTTCTATTCCTCGCAACCAAACTTCTGTTAAGGAAGTTGTTGTTTGCTTTTTAATTGTTTGTTGCCTTAACTAACTTCACGCATAGAGAATGTGTAGAAAAACTGCAGCTTCTTAGCACTCCTGAAGAGCAGATGAAGAGGCTTAATGAAGTTCCAGATGTACATACTGACCCAAAAATGGATCCTAGTTATGAGTCTCCTGAGGAAGATGGAGATGAAGATGAAAATAAAGAAGGTGCTTTAACCTTTTTTCTGATCCTTTTTGCTATTTTAAAGTATTTGCACCTCATAAGTTCCAATTTGATTTATGCTTCTGGGAGGCTCTCTCTTTATTATGATTTGCCTATATAAATGTAGGTAATCCAATGCAATCTACCTTCAAAGGAAGGGAGCTGATTTCCCCACGAAAAGAAGGTAGTTATAATTGGAGTGGAGTACTAAAGAGCTCAAACAATATTATTGCGTTGGGCAGATCTGGACATTGTGATGATTTTCAGAGCATGGAGCTACATGCTGTTTTGGCTGCAAGTGCAAGTGAGTTTCCTTCCCCCAAAAAAGAAGATGTGAAAATTAATGTTGAAACTCAAAACACTGAGTCAAAAGCACCTGCTGTTGAGCCTTCGTCAGAAAACAAAGAACTTTCGAGGGAATTGGCAGTTCAACTTGAACCTAAATTGGAAACTTTACTTGCTAAAGTTGATCCTCAATCTAATGCCAATGAGAATGAGAAGCTATGGCACTATAAAGACCCATCTGGAAAAATTCAGGGGCCATTCTCAATGGTGCAGTTGAGGAAGTGGAGTAAACACTTCCCATCTAACTTGGGAATATGGAGAAAATCTGAAAGGCAAGAGGACTCCATATTGCTAACTGATGCACTAGCTGGGAACTTCCAGAAGGACCTACCTGAGTGGGTGCCTGGGGATATCAAACCCACTCAACTTGTGAAAACTAGCGAAACAACTTCAGTGGTGTATCCAGCTCATTTGAGCCACCCCTCCCCACCCATCATCAGTTCGGCTAATATCCAGAGAACGACTACTTCACTTTCAATTTTCATAGAACAAGGCAATAATTCTAAATCTGATGATGTGGGCGTTCCTACGGGCCAGTCTTCTCTTGGGTCACATTTGGGGTATCAAAATACTGCAACTCAGAATGAAAAAGCAGTTAGAAATGTTGCTTGTACTGATTTAATTGCCAACTTGGACAATAAACACGGCACAGGAAGTAATGGTATTACTATAGCTTCTAGACAAGAACAGATAGTAGCGAATGTCATAAATTCTGAGGCCAATCAACAGGTGTCCTATCAGTCGATTGATTTGCATAATCGGCCTGCAGTCTTTCCATCTGAAATTGATCCGAGCAAGAAGCTTCTTGAACAACCTGGCACAATTCCTGGAAGCATTTTATCCATAAACGGTAAGGGATCAGATTTCTTCTGGTTTTCCATCTTTGCAACTTAAGAATGTTTACTTACTGATGTCTTTTTCTTATAAAGGGAATCACTCACAGCCAAGGACTGATTTAATAGGCGAGGTATCAGCTTCCGAAGGACATGCTACTCAGAAGCAGGACTTAGCTATGCCACTTAATTCAGACTGTTGCAGTAATCTTAGTGTACCTAAGCCAACAGACAAGCTGATTGACCATAGCACTTCTAGTACAGAGTCTAATACAGTGCTGGAAATATTGCCACGTGATCCTTCCCAAATAACGTTCGAAAATGGTGGAGCATCAGATGTGAAGCCTACAGTAGTATCCAATGCTTTGGAATCTGTTTCACCTCATAGATCAGATGCTTCTACCTTCCCTAAGCTTGCCCCTGAAACTTTACAGCCAGCATATACTAACTCATTCACACAAAATTCAGGTGCTTCTTTTGCCACCTCATTGCACCCAGTAAATGCATATGATCAGGCTCTATCCCAAAATGAACAGCCTATTCATCTAGTTCCTCAAACCGTCAGTTCATGTAATTGGAACCTGCCTAATGATACGATGGGCAGAGAGCTGTCGGCGCCTTCTTTGAATTCGACTACAATGCTTTCTGGTGTAAGTGCTGGTGTTTCTACCTCAGTTAACTGCAACAACACACTTCTGGTTTCATCTGATGGTTCTAAGTCATTTTCAACTCCTCAATTGAGCAATAGCACAAGCACAGTAACTTTCCAACCATCTAACATGTGTTGGGGTACTGGGAATCCAGAAGTTAACAATCCAGGTTGGCAAATGCCATATCCATATCAAAATTTTAATAATATGGCAGCTGCAGTTGGAAACATGCTATGTGGTTCAGGAGCCACAAACAACCTGGGTTGGGGAATGATAGCGCAGGCGAACATGAACGTGCCCTGGGGAGTACAACCAAATGCAAATATTTCTTGGGGCCAAGGTCTAACTTTGCCACCTCAAAGAAATGCAACTTCAAACTTTGTGTGGGGAACCCCGCAAGGAAACACAATCCTGAACGATGGCTGCAGACCACCGGCCCAAGGAAATGTTGCTCCATATCCATTTTGGAATGCACCTGCACCTGCACCGGGATCGGGGTGTTCAAGCCAAAATCCTGTTCGTATGCCGGCGCCTTTTGTGGGTAATATGAATCAAAATGCCTGGGGAATACCTAGCCAGGGAACTACTGGTGCAATTAACACTTCAGGAATAGCTCATGAAAACAAGAGCGCATCTTGGGATTCACCAAAAGAAAACCCAAGCAATTCGAGTTTTCGAAAAGATAATTTTACAGAGAGGAATATTGGCTCAAGAAATGGTGATTTTCGTGGCACTGGGTCTGGGTATGGCTCTGGAAGGCAATCCAGGAATTGGATGCCGTCTGGTAATGCAGAGGGGTCATCTAGACCTCCAGAAAACACAGGAATATGCAAGTTCTTTGGAAATGGACACTGCAAAAAAGGGGCTTCATGTAATTATATTCATTGATGACCAATCAAGTGATGAGGTTTGTATAGTCTACCGAGTTTTCTGTATCTGCTGTAAATGTTTCAAATCCTGCGAATTTTGCTATGTATTATTTATGTTGGCCTTCTATAGCTTTTGGTTTCAACTTGATGGTTAGGGGCTCATAGCAGGCTTCCTATTAAAAATTATTTATTTAGTTTGGGAGATCATATTAGCTGTGGAAAGAGAATGCTTCGAATATTGTATTTGCCGAATATGGTACTGGTTAAAGTAGGTAGCAACTAAGCTTTTTGCAAGACTAAGATCTTTGTTGAAAAAAAAAATAAAAAATAAAAAGGTGGTGAAATAAAGAAATACTACCTTATTAGTTTTTAAGTTAGCGTCGTTAAGCTAACAATTTACAGAACAAACTGTCACCCAAAAAGTGTAAAACCAACATTCATCAATCTAAATATGTGCAAGACTTAAAGGGCCTTGGATGTTCCAGGATATTTTCCTCTGAAATAATGATATCTTTTCTTTTTTTTTTTTAACTAGATATAATGCGCAAGGCTTATAATAATGGAAATAAGCACCAGCTGAACCATTTTTTTTCCTGGTATTATATGAAAGCTTTAAATGTTCTAAGAAATAATTGATTTTTTATTTATTTTTTAAGAAATAATAGAATAAAATGTTTTTCAAGCAGAGCAGCATTAGGTCACAAATGAAACACAAAAATCTGTCTGCAAAATTTTTTTAGACTATGATCAATACAAATATTATTTTGGTAATATTTGATTCTCCAAGAATCATTAGGCAAAAAAAGTCTTTTAGCATGTCATTCACTGCAAGTTGAAATAAAAGACAACCGTTCATACAATATATAATTGCCAACTCCAAATAATTAGTATAAAACTAATAACAATGATGATCATCATAAACTATATATAGAGCAAACAGTCAACCAACAACAACATCAGCGTCATGACATAGCCCCCGAGAACATGTTTTTCAAATATATAGTTGGGCCATTGAAAGAATTCCTATAATAAACTAAACAGTATAGTACCATTTCAGTTAGCACTAAGAATCAGAGGACCAAAATAGGACCCTTCAAATCATCCGCTATGGTTTACCTTCACAAACATTTGAACCATTCGGCGATCACATAAACTGGTGGTACACGAAATCCCTTAGTATAGCATAATACTAAATTCCATAAGCTTTACGTAAATAAAGAATTACAAATCGCACTGCGATCTTTGTATAGTGGACTCCTCCCATTAAGATTCCTAAGCTTATTTACCATTTCATAAAGCCACTCAAATGTAAGTTTTGACTGCGAATTAAGTTCTTGTCTAACATGTGGTTGTATACTAAACCAGTCCCCTAACATCTTGTGCACATGAGATCGAACCATTCTCCAAGGCACGGGATATCGTTCACAAAGCTTCAAATATTCTTCCACAAGATCTGCCTGGTCCAATCCAGCATCTTTGAAGCTATTATTATCGCTATCATCTTTCCATTCGGCTGTCCGGAGTCCGCTAAAAAGTGCTGGGTTCTCGAGAAGTGACTCAGCTGACAGCACACCTTCAGCACCCGTGTGCATCAAACAGCTGTGAACATCATCTAAATGGCGGATATTTCCATTTGCAAGGACCGGAATCCTCACAGCATTCTTTACTGCTTTGATGGCATCCCAATCTGCCCGGAATTTTTTCCCATCCTTTTCGTCTCTGGTGCGACCATGGACAGCCAAAAGAGCACAACCGGCCTCTTCCAGCATTGTTGCATATGCTAATGTGTCTTTCAGATCTGGGAAGATGCGAACCTTACATGAAACAGGAACATGGAGATTGTTAGCTAGCTTTTCTACAAGTGATTTTATCAGCGGAAGATTATCCATAAGAAAGGCTCCATAATTTCCTCGCCTCGCAATCCTCTGAGGGCATCTGCATTGACATATAAATAAGACAAGTGTCAAATTGAGCATATTGGGCAGTACGAGGCATACGTCTTATTGCCCTTTTTTTTTCCAAATCACATTTAAGGAAAGCCACTAATTCTTCAATTCTAAGCCATGCGTCAACCAATAACTAGAAATATATTATTGGAATTGCAAAGAAAAAAATTAACAGTTAAATTTCTATACATAAACATCTGAAAGGTAAGCTAGTGCAATCCTAAGAGGATTCCCCTCTTCTATAATAGAGAATGAGCCCTAAAGTTAAGAAATCAGAGAAAAATGTACTCATCAGCATTAACAAAATCAATTTGGCCATAAGCCTTTTGAGCTAGGATTTCATCATGTTAAATAATGAAGTGAGATTGCATGTCCTTGGATGAATCAACATTGTTAGAAGGGTGAGAGAATTAAAAAAGACATCTTTACTTAATTTGTATCACCTGTACAAGCTTATATATGTGCAAGAGAGGTGAACAATCAATTACAATAAAGGAGAATATTTTCCGTAATGAGAAAATATTACAGTAATAAATAGTGCAAATTGTTCCTATAATTGTTAAGGCAATTTGACGATTTAGATGTGTCATTACCCCTTTTGCAAATTTATTGCTTTGTAAAAGATGTCAAGTTGGATTTTGAAACAATAAAGACTAGAGATTAAATAGTCAAAGATTTTTGCTCAGAAATCGTGATTGCTGCAAGTGCAAGATTGATCTGACAAAGAGAGTATTGTGAATCAAACACAAAACAGCTGGCAACGAGATCCAAAGAAAGTATGTATTAGATCCTTGAATCAAGTTATCAATAGAGGATGATGACAAAGTAATCAATAGAGCATAGATACAGAATGGCAAGAGAATCCAGTAGAGCATAGACGAGTTACAATGGGATGAAAGTGTGAGAATAGGTTAACAAAGATCAAAAGTTTAAGGAGTGTAGCATCGGCTAGAAGAAGATGTTTATAGAAAATCTACGTTGCTGCGTATCTGATATCATATTAAAAGGTAGATCGAATGACAAAAGACGACTGCTTTACTGAATTTTTATTGATAGTACCAACATATATGTGCCTGTATATAAGCATATGAATAGAACAATTAAGGAAAGTACAATATGAAGAACATTCTTAATTATTAAAAAAATTATAATAACAGATACTACAACTTCCTACCGGCTACCATAAATAATTAGAACTTCATGAAAATTTAGATATAGTAAGATATATTATTACGTAGTTGGATTAAAACAATATTATTAAAAATGAGCTAGGTGCTTTTCTAGGACCCCAAGCAAGCTGAGACAAGTCCATAGCTCTTCGCACACTTCCCAGTGGACTTCATTACAACACAATGCCTAGGCTAGCTCCTAAGCTTAATGTGCGAGTAGTGAGATGAGAGCCTTATAATATTTAGAGAGATGGTGCTAATGCTTCAAATGCAAAAGATGAACTAATTTTTTATCATGAAAAATTAATATTAGGTGATTGAAAAGTGCATCGAGATTTGGATAGACAATAATGTAAATGAGGAAATAAGTTCAATTATTCGTAGGTGAAAGAATTATGATGTTTTAGAGCCATAAATCATGAGAATGTAGAAGATGAGGGTGCGGTGGTGCATGAGGAAGCGATGAAATTCTACAAATCTAGTAAAAAAAAGAGTGTGGATGATGAAGAAGATGACAGAGAATTGACAAGGATAAAATAATCCTTATTTATGCATGCTACAAAAGTATAGTGTGTGATTAAGGATCGAATTAGTCCCCTAATCTTTTGTGAAGTACTAAAAAAATTCCCGGCTATATAAAAGTATCAATTTGTTCACATGACTTCTTAAAAATAGACAAAATTAGTCCTATAAAATCATTCAGGCCCTCCTATTTAAAATTTTAAAGATCAAAATGATACTTTTAAAGAGAGGACTAAAATAGTCCCTCAGCTTTTTTGAGGGATCAAAATGATCCCCAACTCTTTTAAGGGACCGATTTGGTCCCTCAACTCTTTACAATGGGACTTTTTTGGTCCTGCCATCTAAAGGTAGAATTTATGGTATTAAGTATGAGGGTAATTAGGTCTTTTTTAATTAAAATATTTAATAAATTTAATTTTTAGGGATTATAAATTTGTAAAAAATTTATTAAATTTTTCTTTAATAATTAAGGGTAATTAGGTCATTTTTAATTCAAGGTTGGGTCAAGATTCCAAACTTTTAGAATTGAAGTTGCTCTCTCATTCAAGGTTAGGTCCAATTCCCAACTTCGAGAATTAAGAGTGAAGCTCACCTCGCAGACCTCTCGCCTTTACTTGTACGAGCCTATTTCCCATATAAGATTTATTTCACTTTGCTACTATCATTCATTTCTAATGTAATCACTACTAGTTAGTGAATCAACAATCTATATAAACTTGAATAATTACATATGTATTATACATATGAATAAATTGAAATACATGCTATCATATGAAATAAATGCTATCATAAATATGACACATATCAATTTGCAAATATCTGAAATTTTCACTATTTCTTATGCATCAATTAGGTATCTCACATCGTTATGAATTTGTTCGCCTACAATACCCTGCCTTCTTTTTCTTCTATATAAAATCTAAAGCATGAAATTCTTCATTTATACATGCATTCAAATAAACTAAAACAAGCAACCAAAAAATCTTACAAATTTATCTCAATTGCATTTTTTCTCATTCAACTCAAAATTTCTTACTCTCCCAAAACTCTCTCTCCTTCCTTCCCTTCTCTTTTCCTTACCTGATTTTTTTCCTTACTCGAACTTCGCAAGACACAGTAGCCCCAATTCCTCCGCTCGCTGCTAGAGATCCAAATTCCAGAAAGTGACGGGGAAGGAATGAAATGGAATTGAAAATGCAAGGCTTAGATTAACTTATAATATAATAATAATCACTAGCACTAACTTATAATATAATAATAAGCACTAACAAAATCTGCTCAGCTTTCCCAACCGTGTGATTAAAGGGATCAGCCACTACCAACTTTGCATGGGGTTTTAAGTCGAATCTGGCATCTCCCTTTTAATACATTAAAATCACTTTAGTTAAATAATACAGAAAAAATCCATTTAATGAATTCATACATGTAGATATTATTTTGGTTTATTGCTTATATATATATATATTCTCAAAATTAAAAATAGAATTTAAAAAGTGATTTTAATTTAAAAATAGATTTTAATGAAAACAAATTCACATTTATAGAAAGTTTATAAATATTTATTTCGAATATTTTGGGTATGATATGCCGCACTTGAGAAGTTAACGGAAGTGTTACACTGGTCGATCTCAATCGAATGAAGCACTCTAGATGCGAGACTTGGTGTTGGACGCGATTGACGCTCAGTGCTCAATCGATGGCTCTCTAGGGCTTCGAAAGCTCGCTAGGGCTTCAGACGGTTGCTAGGGCTGTGGGAGTGGTAGTCAACGAGTGCGCAGGACTTCAAGCTGTGTTCGATATGCGTTGTGGGATGTTGGGTCAAAACTGCTGCTGACGCTCGCTCCATTGCGAGACATGGGAGTTGTATTTAGCAGGGGTTTCGACGCTAGGGGAGTGTTCGAATGATTCACAGCTGCGTAAAATAAAAAGGTTATTTTTTTTTTCAAATTAGACTTCGCGGTTCTTTTGGTAGATCCAAATTTGTGTTGCATTCCATGACCCCTAGTCTGAGATTTTGATGATGACTAATAATGTTAATTAAATTATCTTAGTCTTCTATAAATATTTTGAATGTTACTCTTATCTGTGAGTACTAACATTTCAGGAAGATCACACACTGCTCAAGACAATGGAAGACTCGAGACTGGGTATATTAGGATGTGAAAGTCTGTAACTTTGTATTTTCTTTATTTCTTTTTTTCTTGAGTCTGGCCACAAAAAGTATATGCAAACTGAGTAACCATGCACACACACAGGGGGAGAGTTTTTTTTTAGAGAAAAAAATCATTATTTTTTTATGAATATCATACTATATGATTTAAAATCGTATTGTACGATACTCTGTGGCTCAACGACTATCTTCTATGAACTAATCGTACTGTACGATAGTGATCGTACTATACGATTCGTTTTTAATATTTGAAAATTGAACACATTGTACTGTACGATCTAATTGTACTATATGAATATTTGAATACTTGCTAAAGTTAACTCCCGTGCTTAGTCAATTAAATCAAGGCTTAATTAATGATTGGTGTACGACCTTGATCGTACCGTACGATGAACCGAGACGATTTTTTGGTCGTACCAACATTCGTACCAGACAAACCATTTATTTTGTTCTAATTGTACTATATGACTTTGTTCATACTGTACGATGAAGTGAAGATGTTTTTTGTCGTACCAAAGATCGTATCGGATGAAATCTTGATTTTTGAACTAATCGTACGGTACGATGTATACATCGTACAAGACGACATGAATATTTTAATTGATCGTACGGTACAAACTTGATCGGATCCATGGTTTAAAATTGCGCAATATGAGGCTTGCCTTGAGGCCCGCCTTTGCGCAATTCCAGTAAAAAACACCTCGATGCTTACGCCTTAAGTTTTTTTTATGAGGCTTGCGCCTCAACTTGGTTGAGGCCCGCCTTGAGGACCGCCTTGCCTCACGCTATATATATATTAAAACTTACTTAAATCTTGAAGTAAATGCCCGACATTGGACTCTATAGGAGAGGAAGGGGAGAGAGCAGTTCATCATAATTATGATTCAAATGAAAAACCTTTGTGAAGACAATGCTGATGACTTATGAGTTCTTATGTGATATGTCATTGCTATTTATTTTTGGAAATTTGAATTATATGTTAATGAAAAGAATATTGGGATTTGGGAAAGATAGAATTTTGAGTTGAACAATATTTCATGTTGTCTTATTATTGGGAGATTTCACTTAATATCTTATGCTTTTTTATGTTTTATATTATTCACTCATTAGTATATAAAAAAGTTATCATTTTATGTTTACGCAATCTTTTGATTTTGAGGCTTACGCCTCAAAACGCCTTGAGGCTTACGCCTCGCCTCACGAATGAAAAACGCCTCAATACCCGAATACGCAATTTTAAACATTGATCGTATCAGATGATTTAACAGAGACGAATTTTGGTCTTCACAGCATTCGTCCAGTATGAACAGAAGAAGTATAGAACAGCATACTGGACGATATTCGTATCGTACTGTACGATATATTGAAAATTTGTTAACTGTTTGTACTCCTTCATATCGGGACCAGAGCTGTTTTGAACTGATCATATTGTACGATATCGAATCGTACTGTACGAACAAAAACGGCTAAATTGAATTTTTAGGATTTCTTAAAGCTTGATATATAATCAATGCCTTTGCTTTTTGAAAGGGAGAGGGAAGAACATGACAAAGGAAGGAAACTCTTGAGGGGGGAGCTTCTTGAAAAGATTTAGGGCTTGTGAGAGGAAGGAGGAGGTGAGTTTGTGCATGAGGGAGGAGTGTGAGGGGATCACACGGTTGCTCTGAGCCTGCTGTACGCTTGCTCCTCCTATGGCACGGGTAAGTCTTGTGGGAGCTCTCTAGGGGGAGAGCCTTCAAGGTCAAAGTCCTCAAAGGTCCTCTGCCTTCTCCAGGAGAGAGAAAAATGAGAAAGTCCGTTGCCGTCATCGGGAGAGTGACAGCGTCCGGCACTCCCCCACACCGGGGAAGGTGGAAGTGAGTTTGTGAAAAGGCTTCTCCGCCTTGCTGTGAGAGCAGAAGGAGAATTACTTTTGAGCAGTGCAATTCCCGGAGTGGACTCCGTGGAGTGGATATAGGTCAAGTGACCGAACCACTATAAAAAATTTTGGTGTATTTTTTCCATTAACCACATTTTATTTTTCTTGCATTACACATTGCTATAACTGCTTGGTGAAAATTTTGATTTTAGTATTTTGTTGTGCGATTTAAAATTTCATCACCATTATTACAATCGTCATTTAATCACTAGCTTCCGCTTCTAATTAGTTAAGTCATATTTTAAAATTAAAAAAAAAATAGAATTCTTATTTAGGCTTTGATTTAAAAAAAAAAAAACTAATTCACCCCCCTCTTGGCGCATCTTGTACATTCAATTTGTTGTTAAGAAGTTAACGTGAGGACCATATATGTCTTGTTTTAAGGAGTTGAGGGACTAATTTGGTCCCTCAAAAGAGTTGGGGACCATTTTGGTCCCTCACGAAAAGTTGAGGGATCATTTTGATCCTTTTCTCAACTTTTAAATACTCGGGGATCATTTTGGTCCTTCATAAAGAGTTAGAGGACAATTTTTGTCCTTATCTCCTTCAATAAATATAATCTATTTAGAAAATTTTTAGAACCTAGAATACAATGACACTTGAACAAATTATTTTAAATTACATCATTTTATTTTCTTAAAAAAAGTTCTTTGTAATTGAAACAAATATATTAAAACAACTTTTTTTAATTGCACATCATTTAGTTTAAGAGAGAACTGAGGGTGGCGTATAATGCCTTGGGTATTGGACACTAATGTTATCTTGAGGGCGCAAAGGTGTTTAAGAACACTAGACTGAAGCATTGAAATGTATACAACTAGAAAAAACAAAATGTTACTAGCTTAAGGAGTTCATGATAGAAATATAATCACTGTAAGTGCAAAAAGAAAAATAAACTAATGTCATTGCCTAAAGATGTGAAGGCAATCAAATATGTGACCAATAATATCAGCATAAATGTCTCATATATAATTCAAGAAAATTAAGTGAATCTATTTTGAAAGCTGAAAGATTCAGTTTAACCTAGCATTTAAGAAAGCGGTTTGCAAGAGCAACATACAAAGTGAAGTACAGCGATCTTTTGCTTCTTCAAAAGAGCAAAATGGAAAGCAAAGCAACAAGGTAATTAAATGAAGCATGCTCCTTTTATAGTTAGACATATTGATTGTAGATGTAGAAGAATACCAAAATGAACGATTAATTACAAATAACATTAAGCTATATTCCGAAGTCAATTTTGGTAGAGTAAATAACATTGCTTAGATGTGAGCAATCAATACTAAGCATGACGTATAAAATAACAACATTTGATGGTTTGAACTTTGTTGTGAACAAAGATGAATGAATACAACACTTGATCCTAATTGATAGACAAAGATGCAGGAAGGTAATATAAAAGCTTTCTTCAAGGAGAATGAAGTGAACAAATTTGTATATTAAATATGCACTTCAATTTTTACAACACAAAGAAATCTGTGGTTTAAATCCACAATTGTAATAAAAAGCCAACTACCAAAAAAACAAAACAAATTAATGATGAATATTGAAGTATTAATAACATCAAAGCATGCCTATGATGTAAAAAAAAGAAAAAAAAGAAAAAAAAGTCAAACAAATTAAAAAATTGCAACTCTAGTAAAAGTTCAAGCTGTGTATAAGTGAAGTAGGGGCTTTGACCGCTTTATGCTTCAGAAGAAAAAGCACTTCAAAAGTAGCATAACTCCTGCTTTAATTATAAAGTGTCCTTTAATGGGCTTCTAAATTCTAACGACAATTGCATATTATAACCATTAATCTTTGTATAATATAATAAAATGTAAAAACACCTTTACAATGTATTCAACATAAACTTCACACAACAATTTCATTTTCCTTTAACTAAGGAAAAAGATGAAGATAAATTCGTTACCCAAAGTTTATATCAACATAGTCGCAATAGGACTCCACCCTTTTAGCTGCTTCCAGCAGAACATTTGGATCATTTGCGCAGAATTGGACAAATAAGGGACGATCTTCCTGCTTAAGATATCACAACAGAGAATGTCTTGAAGTTTCTGTTGAAAGGCAATGAAAACTTCTAACACAACAAACCCAAAGGCACAGTCTTAAATAGGTAACAAGATAGAATGAATCGAAGTATTAAAAGAAAAAAGGAGGTAGTCCGAATTTAAAATGGATAAAAATTTATTCAAAATTGATTCAACATCTTATATCAAATGCAACAGGGATTAATAAAAAATGGAGATTTATAAATTAAATTACAAATACTTAGGACTTGAGATGACACTAATAATGACAAAGGTGAACAACACTAATAATTACGTTTGAAACCTAAGACTTGCTCAATGATCACTCTAAAGCTTAATCAAATCAAAATTGAGTATAATTTCCATTGACTCGAAGATAGATTATTCAAAATTAAATCAACTCAACTTAAAATTAGCTCTCACTCTATCTCTCTCTCTCACTCTTATATATATACACACACACATACACACACAACAACAAGAACAAGAACAACATCAAGCTTTTATCCCACTATACGGGGTCAACTATATGAATCCTTTTTCTCCATTGTGCCCTATTAAAAGTTAAATTCTCATTTAAATATATTAAAGAAAGGTCATTTCTAATATTTTCTAACTAAGTCATTTTAGGTCTACACCTTTCTTAACATAAGTCAAATCTAATAAATCTACTTTTCTAACAGGGCCATCGAAAGGCTGCCCATTTTATGTGACTAAATGATCTAAGGCAACTCACTCTAATCTTATATTTTGTTGGAGTAAGTTTGATGCTGTCAAGATTTGTTATTTTATCTTTTTTTATTTTCTTGTGTTTTGTATGTAATGTAATTTTATTTTGTAAGGCTCTATGATGGAAATCTATCCATGATCATGCCTGGTTGGGTGCTCTCAGGACAGTACACTGCATTGCCTTTCCACTTGTGTTTTCTTGCTCCTTTTCTCCTGTGGATGCTCAATTTTCTTTGATGTTTTTTTGTTTTCCATGCTATCTTTTCTTTTCCTTGCTATTCGCTTTGATTCCCTGCCAGCTGTTTGGATTTCCTGCTGGCTGTTCGGTTTCTCTGTTGTTTTCTCGATTTTTCCTATGGGCTGCTTGGTTTTCCTACTGTTGGCTGCTTGATTTTCTCTTTATTGATTTCTATGTAGGAAGTTTTAATGTGGGATGAATTTGGTGGTTCGGATTGACTGTTTTGGTGGCACATTTATGTGATTTATTAAATGCTATTCCTCCTTTCTCCTATAAATTGGGGCTGAATTCCTGTTTGCAAAAAAGAGTTTTTGGAATATGTTCAATTAAAAACCTGAGCATTTTTTTAGCTTTTGAGCTAGTCTTCCGCTTTCCCCTATTGCTTCCTCTCGTTTGTCTTTCTACTTCTAGAGAAAGAATGAATACAATAAAGTTTTATTATATCAATTATTTTCTTTTAAGAAAAATATATTGTTTAAATTGCAAAGATTGTAAAGTTATTCCGAGTGAAAGCCGATGTACCCAACATCGCTTATTAGTTTTGAACTTTATGATGAAGGGGAAGAAAATAAAAAATAAAGTAAATCGTTATTCTATGATTTAATTGGGGCATTTAAAGAATTTTAATAAAAATATTTTTTAGAATAATATTTTAAAATTTTGTTTATGCATGAGAAAGTTAATGTTATGTAGCAAAAAAAAAAAAACTAGTGATATTAAGAATATTACAAAAGATGTGCTTGAAGTATCAAAGAGAAAATATACTAAAAGTAAAAATAGTCAGTAATGGAATAAAAATATGCAAGAAAAAATATAAAATAAGAAGATTTGTTATAAAAAGTGGTTTATAAAAATTCTAATAATTGGGATAGAAATAATGAGGCCTGTAAGGAGTCTAAAAAAGCAATTTGCAATGCAAAGATTTTAACTTTTAATGATTCATATATTAGATTAAATACTAAGCAGGGCGTAAGATATATGTATAAGATAGCTAAACAAAGATAAAGGAGTAGAAAGTATTCAGTTCAAGTGAAGTGTAATAAGGATGAATATCAAAAAGTACTTTTATTAGAAGAGGATATTCAATAAAGGTGGATGAGATATTTTTATAAACTCTTTAATGAAGATTATGAGAATGCGATTGACTTTAGTGATCCCAACACCCTAAATGAAAAAAAAAATTGTTATCAGTGTATTAGTAAAATTGAAGTTGATGAGGTTTTAAATAAAATGAAGTGTGGAAAAGTTGTTGGACTTGATGATATTCCAATAGAGGTGTGAAAATGCTTAGAAGATAAAAGAATTTCTTGGCTTACTAAACTTTTTAATATTATTTTGAAGACTAAAAAGATGTCACATTAGTGGAGAATGAGTGTGTTGATTTCTATTTTTAAGAATAAAAGTGAAGCGCAAGATTGTGCGAATTATAGAGGAATTAAGTTAATGTGTCATACTTTAAAATTATTGGAGAGAGTTATGGAGCATAGGTTGCAGCATGAGACTAATGTTTCTCAAAATCAATTTGGATTCATGCCCGACAGGTCTACTATGGAAGCTATACATTTATTGAAAGGTTTGATGGAGAAGTATAGAGAGAATAAGGAGGATCTACAAATGATTTTTATTAATTTAGAGAAAGTATATGTTAATGTTCCAAGAGAAGTGCTATAGTGAGTCCTACATAAGAAAGAGGTTAATAGTACTTATATTCATGTTATTAAGGATACATATGCAATAGCTTTTACTTGTGTTCAAACACAAGGTGGTTTGACTGAGTATTTTTCTATTTCAATTGGATTACATCAAGGATCAATCTTAGCTCATATCTTTTTGCTTTAGTCATGGATGTTCTCACTAAATATGAGTAAGAGATTGTACCCTACTGTATGCTTTTTGCTGAAGATATTCTTTATGTTCATAAAACTAGAAAGGGAGTTGAAGGAAAACTTTAATTATGGAGGTCAACCTTAGAGTCTAAAGGCTTTCGTTTGAGTTGATCTAAAACTGAATATATAGTATATTTTAGTAATAATAGATCTAGTGGGTGGATTGCGACTTTGGCCGATCAAGTCATTAATAAGAGTACACGTTTTAGATATCTTGGGTTTATTGTTCAGAGTGATAGTGAAATAGATAGGGATATTATTAGTAGAATTCAAGTTGGATGGTTGAAGTGGAGGAATGCATTGGGCTTGTTGTGTGATAGAAAAGTCCCTCTCAAACTTAAGGGGAAATTCTATAAGATGGTAGTGAGACCTGCAGTGCTTTATGGTGCAGAATGTTGGCCATTAAAATAAAAGCATAATATTAGGTTAAGTGTTGCAGAGATGAGGATGCTCAGGTGGATGAGTGGCTATACTCTTAAGGATAGGAAACAAAATGAGCATATCTATGTTGCACTGATACACCTATTTATGAAGGTGTGCTGTATCAGATACGTGTCGGACTCGAATACGTGTCTGATATGACACCGATATGTGTCGGACTCTGCTTTGTCGTATCCAACTAAAATATTGTTTAATTTCAAAAGGACACGCATATCAGAAACACGCGCCTATTGAAAAACAAAAAAAATGCATCGTATTTACTTCCACGGGTACGAGCGAGGTTCTCAGATTTTCGAACCAGCAAGACGAGCTGTTAGGGCTGTTCTTCTTCATTTTCAAACCGGCGAGCGTGCATCTAGGGTTTCTTCTTCTTCATTTCATCGAAGGAGCAGGTGTGAAACCATTTAAATTTCAAGATTTTTTTGGTTGACCTAGAGTATCCAAATCATAAACCGTTTTCGCCAGAACATTTATAATATTGTGTTTTAACTTTTCTATGTTTTTGATAATTTTTTGGTACTGTCAAATTTTCTTAAGAAATCAACACCTGTGGGTATAAGTGGGGGTTTTGGGACCGTTAGGTGTCCGTTTTACAAACTGATTTCACCCGAATGTTCTAAATAAAATTAGCTAATTTATGAGTATTTTCTGTAATTTTTAAATTTTTGGATGTAAAAATATAAGTGAATTTGAATAAAATTAATATTTAAATAAAATATTTCATACAACTCATTTATATTATGATAAGAGATATGCTTATTTTGGTTTTATCCAAAAACAGAGAATAGCTTAGGAAATAAGAGAGAAAAAGCTAAGTGAGAGAAAGGGAAAATTGGAATTTGACTAACTTCTCACTGTTTTTGTTCGTCGACGCAGTTGGGAAAGTTGTTTGTCTCGAGGTAAGGCACATTATGCTCATCTCAATTTTCAAAAATGTGCAAGTTTAAGCGAATATTTCGATTAAAGTTTTGTATCCGTTAGCAAAAAATGGGGATAATTTTGTACCGGTAAAACTTTCACCGCGTAACTTTTGTATGTTGTAAAGATTATGATTATGCACGTTTTGAATATTTTTTTGGAAATTTTTCACAAGGGGTTTTGAAATTTGCGGGGTTTTTAGTGAATAGAAAATTATTTGGATGTTGAAAAGTGGTGCTACAGTACAATAAGTACAATAAAAGTCTTAAAATATTGTTTTACACAATTCTTGATAATTTGTTAATTTTATAAAAATGTGCATTTTTGCCTAGTTGGATTTTCTGTTGTCTACTATTATACAATACTATGAAATTTTGATACATTCTTAATTACTCTTTAATTATTATAATGTGATTATATATATGCATATGTGATTAAATTATATCTGTTATGAACCATAAGGTGTCAGAATCCTTTGAGATTGTGTCTGTGTCAGGGAATTTTTGGGAGTTATAAGGGGCAAAAATTATTTGAGATTATGTCTGAGACAAGGATATCTGATATATTATGCTGTTATGAGCACAAATAAAAAGGGAGTCATAAGGGGTCAGAATCCTTTGAGATTTTGTCTGCATCAGGGAAATGTGAACTGAACTACTCTAAAATATGAATTTTATTTTATTCATTTGTTCTATACTGTTATTTGAATCATAGAATAACTGCTATTCATTTATTACATTTTCTAATTTTGTGAATTTCAGTTCAGTGATTTATTTAAATTGTAATTAGCTGCTTTTACATATTCAGCAAAATATTTGA